AAAATTCCAAAAACCAGAATGCCTCTTCTCCAAATGATTGCAACTCCTCTCCCACAAGGGCACAAAACTGGACAGAGAATGAGATTGATGAACTGACAGAAGTAGGCTTCGGAAGGTGGGTAATAACAAACTCCTCTGAGCTAAAGGAGCAGGTTCTAACCCAATGCAAGGAAGCTAAGAACCTTGATAAAAGGTTACAGGAACTGCTAACTAGAATAACTATTTTAGAGAGGAATAAATGACCTGATGGAGCTGAAAAACACAGCATAAGAACTTCGTGAAGCATACACAAATATCAATAGCTAAATCAATCAAGAGGAAGAAAGGGTATCAGAGACTGAAGATTAACTTATTAAAATAAGGCATGAAGACAAGATTAAAGAAAAAAGAATGAAAAGGAACGAACAATGCCTCCAAGAAATATGGGATTAGGTGAAAAGACCAAATCTATGATTGATTGGTGTACCTGAAAGTGATGGGGAGAATGGAACCAAGTTGGAAAACACACTTCCAGATATTATCCAGGAGAACTTCCCCAACCTAGCAAGGCAGGCCAACATTCAAATTCAAGAAATGCAGAGAACACCACTAAGATATTCCTCAAGAAGAGCAACCCCAAGACACATAATCATCAGATTCACCAAGGTTGAAATGAAGGAAAAAATGTTAAGGACAGCCAGAGAGAAAGGTCAGGTTACCTACAAAGGGAAGCCCATCAAACTAACAGCAGATCTCTCTGCAGAAACACTACAAGCCAGAACAGAGTGGGGACCAATATTCAACATTCTTAAAGAAAAGAATTTTCAACCCAGAATTTCATATCCAGCCAAACTAAGCTTCCTAAGTGAAGAACAATAAAATCCTTTACAGACAAGCAAGTGCTGAGGGATTTTGGCACCACCAGGCCTGCCTTACAAGGGCTCCTGAAGGAAGCACTGAATATGGAAAGGAAAAACCAGTACCAGCCACTGCAAAAACACACCAAAATGTAAAGACCATCGACATGATGAAGAAACTGCATCAACTAATGGGCAAAATAACCAGCTAGCATCGTGACAACAGGATCAGATTCACACATGACAATATTAACCTTAAATGTAAATGGGCTAAATGCCCCAATTAAAAGACACAGAATGGCAAATTGGATAAAGAGTCAAGACCTGTTGGTGTGCTGTATTCAGGAGACCCATCTCACGTGCAAAGACACACATAGGCTCAAAATAAAGGGATAGAGGAAGACTTACCAAGCAAATGGAAAGCAAAAAAAAGCAGGAGTTGCAATCCTAGTCTCTGATAAAACAGACTTGAAACCAACAAAGATCAAAAAAGACAAAGAAGGGCATTACATAAAGAGCTAACTATCCTAAACATATATGCACCCACTCAGATTCATAAAGCAAGTTCTTAGAGACCTACAAAGAGACTTAGACTCCCACACAATAATATTGGGAGACTTTGACACCCCACTGTCAATATTATGACAGATCAACGAGACAGAAAATTAACAAGCATATTCAGGACTTGAACTCAGCCCTATACCAAGCAGACCTAATAGACATCTACAGAACTCTCCACCCCGAATCAACAGAATATACATTTTTCCCAATGACACACAGCACTTATTCTAAAATCGACCACATAATTGAAAGTGAAACACTCCTCAACAACTGCAAAAGAATGGAAATCATAACAGTCTCTCAGATCACAGTGCAATCGAATTAGAACTCAGGATTAAGAATCTCACTCAAAACCAACTTGATTACTTTTAAAGCTCAGATAAGTTTTCTTTCTAAAATTTCTTGAATTATTGCTTCCTTCTCTTCATTTGCCTTCTCTCTTTCTGGAAATTCTATTCTTGGCATAAGTCTCCTGGCTTGTTATATATTTTCTCTTTTTACTCATAATTTCTATTTATGTTTTTCTTTTTTAGATAGTTTCTATATTTGAACTTTCAAAACACTTATTCAGTTTTTAGTAGTGCTGATTCCAATTTCTTCACATTTTTGGAATCTTTAAACTTAAAAATCATTTTTTTCCAAAACCTTTTGCTTTCTCATAATTTTTTTGTTATATTTAAAAAAAACCGCCTCATTTAATTTCCCATTGCTTTTGACGTGATGGAATCATTTAAGAAATATCATTTTAATTTTCAAAAGAAAAATGTAGTGTTGATCCCTAGTACTTGAACATTACAAAGAAAGTATGTTCTGCACAAAATCTACCTGAAACTACCATTGAATTGGAAGAATTACCTGAAGTATTTAGACAAGAAGACAAGGAAACCTTTCACCTAAATGTAACTGGAAAATTGCTCAAATTTTCCATTTACTACAGCTATTCAAATCTATATTATGGGTGCTTCATAGATACATTCAGATTGTTAGAATCCTAGATCTAGCAGGAACTCTCAGAATATTTAGTCTGAAGATTATGAACTTAAAGCCCTGTAGAGACCAAGCAGTTGACATAAATGTAGGAAAATGGAGAGTCCATGTCTATGTAAGCAAGCACTAACCAACTTGAGTTTCTTTTTGCTCAAGAAAAATTGACAGCTATATATCACAGTCTTCTTTTTCAAGAGAACCCAGAAATTCCGATTTTAATATGAGCTCACCTTTTAAATGCTGACAACTCATTCATAATTTTCTTAGACAATACAAAGCCAGTTTTGACCAGCAGCCTGTGATCTCATCTCAGCTCTGATACTGGAGTTTTCAAACTGGGACTCCTTCCCAGACAATAAGTGACTTTCCAAGATCACAAGATAATTAACATAAATGTAAATTCAATATTTTCATGTCTAAATAATTTCATCCAAAATGATCCAAGTAAAATGTATTTAACTATGTTTACTGAGTCCAAAAAAAAGCATATTTAGTATAGACTTTATTAAACAAGCACTTTATAGAGAAGTGAATATCATGTATTGATTAGCAAATTATATGTTCAATTATTTAACTTCATATAATTGGTGGAGGAGGGGGTTAAAAGGGGAGGGTGATGTCAGCAAGACATACCAAAAAATATAATTAATTCCATGGGGAGTTGAAAGTTTTATTATGGACTATTTTGTAATTATCATTATTATAAGTTTTTTTTTTCTCCTAACGTGGGACAGATTTCTAACTAACTTTTTCTGGTTTTGTTTTGTTTGTTTGTTTGTTTGAGACAGAGTCTCACTCTATGGCCCAGGCTGGAGTGCAGTGGCACGATCTTGGCTCACTGCAACCTCTGCTTCCCAGGTTCAAGCAATTCTCATGTCTCAGCCTTCCAAGTAGCTGGGATTATAGACACGCGCCACCACCCCCAGCTAATTTTTGTATTTTTTGTAGAGACGAGTTTTCACCACGTTGGCCAGGTTGGCCTTGAACTCCTGACCTCAAGTGATCGGCCCACTTTGGCCTCCCAAAGTGGAGCCACCATGCCCGGCCTAACTAACGTTTTGTAATCAACATCTTCAACACCAAATCATACAGAATAAATTAATGATTTCTCTGGACTTATTTATCACGTAATGTCAACTCTCTTGAACCAAGCAAAAAAAAAAATTAAGTGAGGAAGAGGCCTCCCAAAGCAAAATGATGTATGTTATTAAGCCCAGTTTTCACTAAGACTCAGTGGCACCACCATCTAACGGGTCCCCCAAGCTAGAAACCTCATAAGTTATCGGGTCCCCGAGCTCGAAACCTGGTATCCTCACTTTTCCTTGTAATTCTCCATGCTGCATTCAGTCAGTCATTAAATCCAATGATTCTGTCTACAAAAGATCTATCCAATTTGTCCTTCCAATCATTTCGACTACAACCATCGATGGTAGGCCAGAGGCTAAAAAATGTGGCCAGTGGGCCAAATCCCACTCACAGAATGTTTTTTCTGACCTGCATTATGTTTTATTTTACTCTGAATATTTGCCAGTATTAAAAACTGTGAGATTTCACACACAAAAATCCAGATTTCCAGCTTTTCTTGAAAATCAGAGTATCTGGGGAAATGAGGCTGAAGGTAAGTAGTACCTTTATCCTTTAGACAGGGCATACAATCTCTAGTTGGCTACAGTTCTCACCTTTATCCATGCTTCACTCATTTCATTTGAGTTAGTAAACGCTGATTTAGATTTTCGCCTTTTCCTCATTTTCAGAACTAACACAACAGCTTCTTGACTGAACTCCATGCCTCTGGTCTTTACTCCTTTAATCTTTATTTGACAGCATTGACAGACTTTATAAATAAAACTTTTTCATTTTACTCCCTGCTTAAAATTCAATAGTGTCCCATCATCTATAAGATAGAGTTGAACTCCCTATTATTTGACCTCTCTGTACTTCTTCAACTTCAATCTATGTTCAAACTCAATTGCTTATTGTGCTCCAAAAGTGCCATATTCCCTCCCACTTCACTACTTTAAAAGTGCTCTTCTCAACCTACAATGCCTATCCTTTCTTTGTCTGGCTAACTCCTACTCTTCCTTCAAAATCAGCTCAAATATGATCTTCTCTGGGACACTCTCCCAGGCTCCTTCTCCCCACCCTCTCTACCTAACCCTCCCAATCAATCTACTAGGCAGCTACTCCTGCATATCAGTAGCACCCTGTGACTATTATAGGACTATATTAAAATTATTACTTTTTTATATGTGTCCTCCAACTAGAGTGAGCTCCTTGAAAACAACCACTATTAATTTCAGCTTAGAATATAAATAAGAAGATAAAAGCGCTTCCTCAATTATTTCTATCATAGCAATAGATGAGAAAAGCAACATTTGTAAAAGGCCTCTTATATGCCAAGTACTACAGCTAGTCCTTTTGCAATATCTCATTTAATAGTAAAATTTACAACAAGTGAAAAAGTGAATAGAATTTGGAATTTCTGTTACAGTTTGGTTAAATTTTGATATTTTAGTTGCTTTTGTACTCCTACGTTATACCATTTTGAGGTTACAACTCTCAATTGAATACAAACAAGTTGCTTTTCATTTTCGGTTTTTTTTGTTTTTTTTTTTTTTAAGAAATAAGGTCTAGCTACGTTGCCCAGACTGGTCTCAAACCCTTGGGCTCACTCTTCCCTTTTATTCTCTTTGTTACATTCAGTCAAAGGCTCTTCCTGCCTCAGCCTCCTAAGTAGTGGGAACTCCAGACACACGCCACCATACCCAGCTCCAGTTCCTATTATTCCTGAGTTAACTTATTGCGTACATAATTTTCCCTAATTTGAAAAATGGGGAGGGTGAGGTAAAAAGCAAACACTGCTCAAGGTCAACATCAACAAAGCTTAGGGAAATGTTTTTAAAAATCAATATCCATTTGACAAAACATTCATATAAACAGAAATCTTACAGGTAAGATGTCATGGAAAGAGAAACATTACATAAACATTATACAGGGAGGATTCACTCAAACATATTTTGTAGCCACTCTTATATTTAGCAAAATAGGTAAAATTATTGTAAAAGGTTTAAAAGGCAAACTTACCCTTTCTGTAAGAATTACAATGGATGAAAATGCAGAATTCATGAAATCATAACCATCAATTTGGAATAAGTATTTCAGAATCTGAAACTCAGAAGCATCTTCTGTTGATTTATAAATAAAAATATGTTAACATGATATTATATAACTTCTGATTCTAATTTCTTCCTTAATTGATGCATTGGAGAATAAATAACCTGCTTCTTACCTTTTTGAGAAATATAATTTTGAGAAGACAAAGAATTATCAGTTGAAACCCTCTGATTATTTAGCAGGGTATTTTCCACAGATCTGTCTATCTCAACCAGAGCAGGCCCTTCAGTGTCTACTGATGGTTTTGAATTTTCATCACTATCTTTAGAAGATGAGGGTTTGAAATGTACTTCTTCGTGAATTCTCATAGGTAACTCTATATTAGAGACCATATCTACAAATAAATAAAAAGAAATGTTTTTCCCAAATACTTGCTTTATTGAGGGCTCCCCTTTTGTTTTCTAGGCAGGTCTTTTTTCTGAACTTTTGTAGGTCATTATGATACTTCGTTAAAGAAAGGATACACCAAAACATAAATTGTATCCTGTGTTACCTTTCTATTGCTAGTAAATTACCAAAACTTGGTGGTTTAAACAATGCAAATGTATCCTCTTAGAGTTCTGAAAGTCAGAAATTCTAAAACCAAGGTGTTGAAGTTGGCAAGGCTGCATTCCATCAGGAGGCTCTAGGGCAGAATCCATTTCCTTGCTTTTTCTACTTTCTAGAGGCCTCCTGCATTCCTTGACACATGGCCTCACCCTCCATTTTCAAAGCCAGCAGTGTAGCATCTTCTAATTTCTGTCTCTCTTACTCTGATACACTTACATTCCTCTTATAAGGAGCCTTGTAATTATATTAGACACACAAGGATAATCTCTCCATTTCAAGGTCCCTAATCACATTTGCAAGGTCCTTTCCACCATGTAAAGTAATATATTCTCAGAGTCTGGGGGTTAAGATACAGACATCTTTTAGGGGGCTTTTATTCAGCCTACTACATAACCTTTTCTTTATTCCTCAGCCAAGGAAGAATTACAAAAGCTATATGTAATTCTATTCTCTACATGCCTTTTTGTCCTAAAAATTACTTTAAAAAAAACCCCTAAAACTAACATAACTGTCAACAATTCTGTTGTACTATATAAGCATATGACTAAGAATAAGGCAACACATAGATTCCCTTCAGATTTTATGCCTGCTATGTATGCATTTGTTAACCAGAAGGTGTAATGTCTAAAAAAAAAGTATCAGTGTGGTCCTGAAAAACAATAATAAAGAGTAGTAAGTGAATTGTTCAATGTCTAATTTTGCTCTTTGAGCTTATGAGTCTTAACATAGCACTTTGACACTGTCATTTATTTATCATTGTTTAAAAGAGGAAAGTCCCAATTGAGCAAACACGTATCAGTAATTTAATAATAGCATCTGTGGATAATAATACTTAAAAGCATTCAAATCAGGAGTCTGAATTCAAAGGGATTATTGTACATACAGGACTCAAGTAGTGATCTGCAATAACGTTTAATACTATGAGAATAAAAGGATTATTCAATAAATATACTCAAATTTATACATAACCATATTATTTTAAAATATTGTTTTAAACTGCATTTGAAATAAATATATAATAAGAAAAATGAATATTCCCTATTCCATTTTCATATTTAATTATATTTTTAGGTATTATTTACACAATTAAACCTAAGCTTTAAGATTTACACTAAATATGGATATGCTTTTCTTTATTATTGCTTATTAGCAGAATTTTAAGTCAAATAAAATAATAATTTTTAATATTTAACTGTACTTGGGAAACTCATTATTTAAGTATGCACAATTGGAATCCTTTTGTAAAATCGTTATTCATGTTGTAATATAAATAATTGTTCCCTAATTTACCTGTTTTGTAAATTCCTAAATCAATATGTTAGTTTTCTGTAAATGTGGTTATCTCAAGTCTGAGCCTTTCACAAACATAGATTCAAGATCAGTGATTCATCTTGCTTATGCACTATAATTACAGCAAGTTTTCATTTGTTATTCCCTGAAAGAGTTGTTGAAATCTGAAAAGATTTGCTGTTTAATTCTTTCTCTAATATCCAGAAAATAGGGCCTGTGGCTTTATAGAAATCTTTTAGGATGCTTTTTTAAAAAATTTTTTGCATGATCTCAGGTTGTTTTTCATTTTTATTTAATATTGTAGTGTTTTGGAATAACCCACTTTGTTAATAAATGACATCTTTTTTTTCTGAAATTTAAAAGAATTTCTGAATATTTTCATAAAAGTTCCTCAAAACTAGTTAAAATTGCAGCAACATCCTATTCTCATTTAACTATTTACCAATTTTAGAAATTCTTTCAGTATCTCTATATGAAATGATAAATTTTAAATATTTATATGTGTGTGTGTGTGTGTGTGTGTGTGTGTATGTGTGTGTGTGTATATATATATATATATGAGACTGAGTCTCATTCTATTGCCCAGGCTGGAGTGCAGTTTTGCAATTTCAGCTCGCTGCAACCTCTGCCTCCCGAGTTCAAGTGGTTCTCATGCCTCAGCCTCCCGAGTAGCTGGGATTACAGGGGCACACCACCATGCCCGGCTAATTTTTGTATTTTTAGTAGAGACGGGGTTTCATCATGTTGGCTAGGCTGGTCTCGAACTCCTGACCTCAAGTAATCTGCCTGCCTCGGCTTCTCAACGTGCTGAGATTATAGGTGTGAGCCACCACACCCCGCCAATATTTTCTTCAGAGAGAAAGTGTCACTGTGTTGTCCAGGCCAGCCTCGAACATCTAGCCTCAAGCGATCTCCCACCTCAGCCTTTCAAGTAGCTGGGACTATAGGAGCATACCAACACTCCCAGCTAAATAAAATTTACAAAAATGATTTTTTTGTGAAATTCTTTTGAATTCCTGGAGTTTCTATGATTGTGCTCTAAAATATTTTTGTATGTCAATCTTTGGAATCATCTGGATTTCTGTATCTAATATTGTTTTGTTGTAGTCTGTCTTCCTTCTAATTACTGTGACCTGCCTTTTCTTAAATATTCCTTTAGGATCTAACAAGTTTAGAATAAGAGAATTTACCTTTTAATTAGCCTTTAACAACCTAAAAAGGTCTCTAAGCTTTTTAGTCATAAAAAGCATCACACCTGCACCTTTCTCATTTGGAAAAGGGTTAGAATCTAAATATCTATATGTTGGTTGAGGATGTTGAGTAGAGAGCTCCCATTTTAGGGAATGTTAAGGTACTACATATAGTTCTGGAAATTCAAAAAAATCACCTGGTTCTAATGGAAATGTGTTTCCTTCTGAGTTTGTTACCCTCTTCCTGTGAAAGGTTTTCTGTCATTCTAGGGTTTAATTGTTTTTGTATTATTGCTCAATATTTGCTGCATTTATATTCTGTCCATCACAGAGTCGTAAGGATGGAGATGTGGAAAAGTTATATTATAAAATGTTCTACTTAAAAAACAATCCACATGTTTTTAATCATAGGAATTGCTAGATACCCGGACATCTAGATCTGAAAGTATTATCTTATATTCTGCTCTCTTCTGTTGCCCTCTGTTGAACTCTCAGAATTGAGGAACTTGGGGGAGAAAGTTGAAAACTTTTTCCCTTTTTTTGCTTGAGTTTTCTTATTACATTGACACTTAAAGGAAACCCTTGTTATCAGCTGGGCACAGTAGCTCATGCCTGTATTCCCAGCACTTTGAGAGGCTGAAGCGGGAGGATCCCTTGAGCCTAGGAGTTGGGACCAGCCTGGACAACATAAGGAGACTCCATCTCCACAACATATAAAAATAAATTAGCTGGGTCTAGTAGTGGTGCACACTTGTCGTCCCAGCTACTCAGGAGGCTGAAGTCAAGGGATAGGTTGAGCCCTGGAGGTTGAGGCTGCAGTGAACTGTGATCACACCACTGCACTCCAGCGTAGGTGACAGGGTGAAACCTTGTCTCAGAACAAAAACAAAAGAAAACTCTTGTTATCATAGTCCTTCTTAGGAAAAGCAAAACTACAGACCTAGAATAAGATCTAATTTAGGAATCAAAACTATTTAGTTAAAGTTTCCCTTAGTTGGCCGGGCACGATGGCTCACACCTGTAATCCTAGCAGTTTGGGTGGCTGAGTGGGGCAGATCGCTTGAGCTCAGGAGTTCGAGACCAGCATGGGCAATATAATGAAACCCTGCTTCTACAAATATGCAAAAATCAGCGGTCGTGGTGGCACGTGCCCATAGTCCCAACTACTTGGGAGGCAAAGGTGAGAGAATTGCATGAGCCCAGGAGGTCGACGCTGTGGTGACCTGAGATCATGCCACTGCACTCCAGCTTAGATGATAAAATGAGACCCTGTCTCAAAAACAAAAACAAAAACAAAAACAAAAACAAAAAGTTTCTCTTAGCTTAGGTTTCTAAGAAAACCATTCAAATATAGTTATATTGGGAAGGTGTTATTGCTAAAAAGTGAATGTGAATGAGAAAACCCACACCTACCAGAATAGAAAGTCAATAGACATTGTCTAAAATAGGGTAATCAAAGCAGAACAGTATAAAGATTCGATTTAGAAAACTCTTAAATACTAAAAAGATACTGCTTTAAAAACAAGAAAAGAAAATTATTGTCTCTGGGAAAGCAGTGGGAGTGGAGGTAGATGGAGGGAACAGACATTGCTATTGTCGGGGAAAAAAAAAAAAAACCTTAGCACTATTTCAAATTTTAAACTATTTACATACAATATTTTGATAAAAATTAAAATTTATTGTAAAATACTTTAAGATTTTCCTGGAACATCTTTAGATCCCCAGTCATTGTTTTTCTGTTGAGATTTTATTTTATAATATTAAGATCTAAATTCCAGTGTAAACCAGAAATTGATGAAAGAGCTAAGCATTTTGAGCTGGGCATGGTGACTCACGCCTGTAATCACAGCACTTTGGGAGGCTGAGGTGGGAGGATCACGAGGTCAGGAGTTCGAGACCAGCATGGCCAACATGGTGAAAGCCCGTCTCTACTAAAAACACAAAAATTAGCTGGGTATGGTGGTGTGTGCCTATAATCCCAGTTACTCAGGAGGCTGAGGCAGGAGAACTGCTTGAACCAGGACCTGGTAGGTGGAGGTTGTGGTGAGCTGAGATCACGCCATTACACTCCAGCCTGGGCAACAAGAGTGAAACTCTGTCTCAAAAAAAAAAAGAAAAAAAAGAAAGAGCTAAGTATTTTTAAAAAGGCAGATTCCTGGACTTTTTCATCTGATTTGCACTTTTGAAAATAAATTATGTTTAAAAATAAAATAAATTCTAATATAAATATTTTCATACCAACCTGACGGATTGTATGAACTTTCGAACATCATAACTTTTGTATTGTCTGTGGGATAATTATCAATGGAAAATTCTTCAGTTTCTTCATTTTCAATTACGTTATTTTGATCCAGTGTCTGTTTGGGAAATGGCAATTCCGTTTCCTTTGGAGTGTTCTGGAAGTTCCAAGGGTTGTCAAAATTATACAAGAACTTTTTCAAATATGGTATGGCATCCGATTCATCTGTTTTTTCTAAGACTGGTTTCTTGTCTATTTGATCTTCTGTTTCCATAATTTGTATCATTTCTATTTCTTGTTCTTTTTCAGGGTCTAATTCATTTGTTAGAGGATATTCATGTCCACCTGCCCCACCATCTTCTTCATTTTTCCTGTCATCTAACATAATTTTGTCTTCCTTGGCATATGCAAAGCCTAGCATAGCAAAACCAAAATCAAACCAACTTGGCTCGAGACTCAAGCTATCATTAGTGATTGTGTCTTTTTTTTCTGTTAATATTTCTGTACATGGAACTGTGTCTTCTTTATCAGATGATATGGAATTGGGAAAATCTTGTAGTGGTGAATTGCTTTCTTCAGCTAATAATTCAAGCCCTGTATCCTCATCTCCAAAACCTAAATAATTTGTAAATCCACCACCAAACCAACCAGTGGGTTGAGGTTTGGGAACGTGCTCTGACTCAGATGCTAGTTCAGAATGCGTCTTTGGCACTGAATCAATTTCTGATTCAGATTCTTGCTGATGTTCTGTTTGAGGCTCACCATTGTTTAATTCCTCTAGGTCATTCTCATCTTCCACTGCTATTTTTCTACTTCGAAATGAGCTTTCTTGTACAGGTTCAATAACTGATTCAAAAGCTTTCTCTTCAGCTTGTTCTCCTCTCAATCCAAACCATTCTTTGAGTCCAGGCACAGCTGAAGATGGTGGGACGTGCACTTCTGGAATATGATCCTGTTCCACACTTTCAACAACTGCTTCTTCCCAGTTTTTTGATTCACTGGTACTTCCGATATCTTCAGGAGCCTCTAATGCTGGAAATTGGTCTTCAAACAAAGTACTTTCGTAAGTTGCATAAAATCCAGGTTCTAGCTGAAAATCACCTTCATATATACTAGATTTTTCATCTTTATCTTCTTCAAAAGGATATATATTTTCACCATAATCACTGTTTAATTCACTATCTTCATTGTCAAATGTGTAACTTACTCCAAGAAGACAAAGAAAGTCAGATTCCTAAAAGTAAAAAATATACATGTGATTAACATGAATGTACTAGAGTTCCTTGTTTCTCATTTAAAATGGATGACTGTGGGCCGTGACTCATTTAAAATGGATGACTGTGGGCCATGCCTGGTGGCTCACGCCTGTAATCCCAGCACTTTGGGAGGCTGAGGCAGGCGGATCATGAGGTCAGGAGATCGAGACCATCCTGGCTAACACGGTGAAACCCCGTCTCGACTAAAAATACAAAAAATTAGCCAGGCGTGGTGGCAAGCACCTGTAGTCCCAGCTATTTGGGAGGCTGAGGCAGGAGAATGGCGTGAACCCAGCAGGTGGAGCTTACAGTGAGCTGAGATCGTGCCACTGTACTCCAGCCTGGGGGACAGAGAGAGACTCTGTCTCAAAAAAAAAGAAAAAAGAAGAAAGTATAAAGGATGACAGTGATTTTCCCAAGACACCTGACTAGCTCAAGAGCAGAGCAAAAACTCAAACATTTATATCACAACTGACTTCGAGGCTAAGTATGTAAACCTAAATGAAAAACCTTTTACATTACGGCTTTTTGTTTGTTTGTTTGTTTGTTTTTAGAGACAGAGTCTTGCTCTGCTGTCCAGGGTGGAGGACAGCTCACAGCTTGCTTGAACTCCAGGGTTCGAGTGAACCTCCCTCCTCAGCCTACGAAGTAGCTGATATTATACCCAGCTAATTAAAAAAATCTTTCGTGAAGATGGAGTGTCGCTATTTTGCCCAGGCTGCTCTTGAACTTATGGCCTCAAGCAATCATCCCACCTCAGCCTCCCAAAGCACTGGGATTACAGATGTGAGCCACCGCACCAGGCCCATTATGATTTATTTGTTATTAAATAGTTGAAATTTTGGGGCCAGGCATGGTGGCTCATGCCTGTAATCCCAGCACTTTGGGAGGCTCAGGCGAGTGGATTGCCTGAGCTCAGGAGTTCAAGACCAGCCTGGCCAACATGGCGAAACTCCATCTCTACTAAAAAATACAAAAATTAGCCAGGCATGGTGGTGGTCACCTGTAGTCCCAGCTTCTCGGGAGGCTGAGGCAGGAGAATTGCTTGAACCCGGGAGGCAGAGGTTGCAGTGAGACGAGATCTCACAACTGCACTTCAGCTTGGGTAACAGTGAGATTCTGTCTCAAAAAAATAAATAAATAAAATTTATTTCAAATAGTTGGAATTTTTGAGAAGCAGAGACAATCAATGCTTTCAGTGTATTCTGCAAACAAAATCTCGTGAAAAGGCATGCATATCCACAAAATTTTGCACCTCCTAAGAACACACTGACTGAACATATGCATCTTTGCAGTGATTTGAGGTAGAGTTCTATGGTTTGACTGTGTCCCCAAAAACCATATATTGGAAACTGAATCCCAAATGCAATATTGTTGACAGATGAGGCCTGGTGAGAGGTGATCAGTCCATAAGGGCAGAATGAGTAGGATTAATGCCATTACTGCGTGAGTGGGCTTATTATCACAGGAGTGGGTTCCCTTATAAAAGGACCACTAGTTCAGCACCTGTCTTGCTCTCTCTCTCCAGCGTTTTTCCCCATCTTGCCTTCCAGTATGAGATGTTGCAACAAGAAGACTTCTCAGCCTTCAGAACTGTGAGAAATAAATTTATTTTCTTTATAAGTTATCCAGTCTCTGCTATTCTGTTATAGCAGCACAACATTGACTAAGACAGAGGGGAATTTCATAACATATGGTTATGTCTCAGACAGACCAGAGACTCTAAAGCAAGTTTGTCCAACCTGCCTGCATGCAGCCTAAGATGGCTTTGAATGTGGCCCAACAAAAATTCATAAACTTTTAAAAAATATTATGGGATTTTTTTTTGCAATATTTCTTTTTAGCTCATCAGCTATATTAGTGTTAGGGTATTTTATGTGTGGCAGAAGACAATTCTTCTTCCAGTGTGGCCCAGGGAAGCCAAAAGATTGGACCTCTGCTCTAAAGCATGAAAACCTGGTTAAAAGTTGCACCAAAAGGCTGGACACAGTGCATCATGCCTGTAATCCCAACACTTTGGGAGGCCAAGGTAGGAGGAGTGCTTGAGCCCAGGAGGCCAAGGCTGCAGTGAGCCATGGTTGCACCACTTCATTCCAGCCTGAGCAACAGGGCAAGATCCTGTCTTAAAAAAAAAAAAAAAAAGTTAGCTAGGTGTGGTGGCCCACGCCTGTAATCCCAGAGTTTGGGGAGGGTGAGGTAGGCAGACTGCTTGAGCCCAGGAGTTTATAAACAGCCTGGGCAACATGGAGAAATTCTGTCTGTACAAAAAAAAAAAATACAAAAATTAGCCAGGCATAGTGGCATGCGCTGTAGTCCCAGCTACTCTGGAGGCTGAGGTGGGAAGAGCACTTGAGCCTAGGAGGTTGAGGCTCCAGTGGGCTATAATTGTGCCATTGCACTCCAGCCTGGGCAACAGAGTTAGATCCTATTAAAAAAAAAAAAAAAAGTTGCACTGAAACAATTTGGCTTCATTTATTGAGATATTGCATACAGCCAATGGAAGTGAGGATCTACTTGTCCATCTCACAGAACAACCAAATCATTAAGAAGAAACATGATGAAGACTTTTTTTTTAATCCGAATGTTAGAAATAGTGACGTGTGCTGCCTTTAGATATTACCATTATGAAATGAGGATAACGTTCAGATTTTTTAAAGAATAAGCTTCAGAATTGCAATTTTATAATATACACTTGGCACTACAGTCTAGTACATGATTAAGAACAGACTCTGGAGTCAAACCCTTTGGGTTCAATGCCCAACCCTGCCATCTACTACCTCTGTGCCCTTGGGTGAATTTTATGATCTTTCTATGCCTCAGTCTCCTTCATCTGTAAGATGGGGATGTTGGGGCTCAGAAATACCCCCAAAATGAAGACATCAGAAGCAAAATTCTTCTCTGACCTTCTCCTATTCTCCACCTCTCAGTCTCATTTTCCCCCGAGGCTAGTCATAGAAAGTAGAATCCCGCTTTCCCAAGGCAGCTCATAGAAACAAGAACCCCTTTTCTCCAAAGCCAGCCATATAATCTAAAATTATTACTCTAATGTTTCCTCCTCTTTTCTATGCAAAGCTATTCATAAATTCTCTGACCTACCTTGTTTGATTGTAGGGCATAAGACCCGCATTCCAGGGAAGGCCCTGCCCTATAACCAGAAAGATGCAATGCATGCTCAGCAAAGCCAAGGAGATTCTGGACAGACAGGCCTTTCTGGGTTCCCCCACTCAGTCTACTGAATTAGATCACACCCTTTTTGTTCAGTCACATCTCTACATGGCTATCCATACGTTACTGAAGCTAAGCATAAAAATGGACAGTTTCCTCTGTATCTTCGGGTCTTCATTCTTTTTTTTTGTTTGTTTTTTTGAGATGGAGTCTCGCTCTATCGCCCAGTCTGGAGTGCAGTGGCATGATCTCCACTCACTGCAACTTCTGCCTCCCGGGTTCAAGCAATTCTCCTGTCTCAGCCTCCCAAGTAGCTGGGAAAACAGGCGCACGCCACCACGCCTGGCTAATTTTTGTATTCTTAGTAGAGATGTGGTTTTACCATATTGGTCAGGCTGGTCTCGAACTCCTGATCTCAGGTGATCCACCTGCCTTGGCCTCCCAAAGTGCTGGGATTACAGGTGTGAGCCACCACGCCCAGCCTGGTTCTCCATTCTGAAGATTCCTGTGTCACGTAAAATTGTGATCAAATAAATTTGTATGCCTTTTCATGTATTAATCTTCCTTTTGCAAGTTGACTTTTCATCTGACTTTCAGAGAGAACTTTCCTCCTTGAATCCTCCAGGGATAATGACCTATTTTACCGAGGTGTTGTGAGGATTAAATAAGTCAAGCGTTTAGAATAGTAACTATCTCTAGTAAATAGTCGCATATCCCAGCCCAAAGTTACAGTACCCCAGATACAACCAAAAATGTGGGGATAAAAGGCCCAATCATCTTGCCTCTCTCTCTATTAAAGACAACTCTGAAGGGCCATTCCAGCTCCAGAGCTCCTTAGGAAATCAGCTGAGACCTTCACTGCAACTACATCACAATTCAACTTCTCTGTCTGCCCAGTCATGCTTCTTTTTTCTTTTTCTTTTTCGTTGTTTTTGTTTGTTTCTTTGTTTGTCTCGGCCTCCCAAAGTGCTGGGATTACAGGCGTGAGCCACCGAGCCCAGCCAAGTCCTGCTTTTTCTTTTGTTCCTTCACAGGTGCTATTCCCAAACTACCCAGCAAACTTCTTGGATGCAAAGATTCATTTCAATATCTGTTTCCCAGGGAACTTGATATAAGAATTTGGGGCATCTGTGCACTTACTTTGTGCATGGCACTGTGCTAGGTGCTGGGATTCTGCAGTAAACAATAGAAAAAACTAATTGTAAATTGCAATAAATGAGGACGGGTGCAGTGGCTCACACCTGTAGTTCCAGCACTTTGGGAGGCCAAGACGAATGGATCACTTGAGGTCAGGAGTTCGAGACCAGCCTGACCAATGTGGTGAAACCCCCGTCTCTACTAAAAATACAAAAATTAGCCGGGCGTGGTGGCACGCCCCTGTAATCCCAGCTACTTGGGAGGCTGAGGCAGGAGAATCACTTGAACCCAGGAGATGGAGGTTGCAGTGAGCAGAGATTGTGCCATTGTACTCCAGCCTGGGCAATAAGAGGCGAAACTCCACCTCAAAAAAAAAAAAAAGAAAGAAAGAAAAAAAGAATTGCATTAAGTGCTATGAAGAAAATAAATAGAAAACTGTGATTAAGAAGCAACAATTCCTTTAGAATCATCATGGAAGGCCTCTCCAAGGCACTGGTTTTTATTTTTAATTTTCAAACTCAACATACTTTCATTTCAGTTTTATTGAGGTATAATTGGTATACATAAACTGCATATAATGAATGTACACATTTGAACAAATGTATACACTTGTGTTACCATCACCACAATCCAGATATTGAAACATATCCTTTGCTTCCAAAAGTTTCCTAGGAGGCACTGATGTTTAATCTCAGGCCTAAAGGATAAGAAAGAACTAGCCAAGTGAAGTGTTTGGGGAAAGCATTCCAACCAGAAGAAATAGCCTGTTTGGGTCCCCGGGCTGCGAAAGAGCTTGGCATGTTCTAAGAACAGTCAAAAGTCCAGATTGGCCACGATCGTGGTGAGTGACGGGAGAATGGCACCAGAGACAGGGTCAGCAAGGGAGGCAGGAGCAGATCATGTGGGACTGTGAAGCCAGGGTAAGAAGTCTGGGTTTTATTCCAGGTCCAGTGAAAAGCCACTAAAGGGCTTTAAAGGAATGACATAATCTGATTTTTTGTTTTTACAAGATTCATTATTGTTTGGAGAATGGATTGAAAGAGGGCAAAAGTATAGACAAAGAGTATAGTTAGAAGGCTATTGTAGTATTCTACTCAATAGATGAAGCTGCTTGTGGTGGCACACCTGTAATCCCAACCATTGGTGAGGCTGAGACAGGAGGATTGCTTGAGCCCCAGGAATTCTGGGCTGTAGTACAGTCTGATTGTACCACTGCGTTCCAGCCAAGAGATGATGGTGCCTTGAATTAGGGTGATAGTGAAAATGGAATTGAAGAGAAGACAATATACTCCAGATATATTTTAGAAATAGAACTGACAGGACCAATTATTATATAGTAAATAGACAGCTAATCCCAGAGTTTGTGATGGGAAAGAGCCAGAAATTAGGCAGTTTGTTTAACTAGACAGACTCCCTTCTCACTGACCTCATTTAAGGTAAATTGGTTTAAGCTAGAATCTGAATTAAATGGGCTAACCAAGTTTATTAATTGAAAAGTCACCTCCTGATTCCCTTGAAGCCCAACATTATCATGCTCATGAAAAACTCCAACAGCAAAAGAGGATGTGCAGATATGAGACTAACGAGTGTGGTGGAAAATAAACTTTTATCTTAGTAAGACAATAGCATTAGTAATAATATCTAACACTTACTGAGCACTTAGTGCTCTTCTATGTACTTTACATATACTCATTTATTCTTCAATATATGTGAAGTAGCACTGTATTATACTCAGCACCTCCACTTTACAGATAAGGAAATTGAGGCATACCAGGCCACATAGCTTGTAAGTGGTTGAGTCAGACTTTGAACTCAGTCCATCTCCAGAATCCATGCTCTTAACAACTACACTCTATTGCCTGTCTGTTAATTTTTCAGAAAGCAAAATCTTTTACTGTCACCAAATTTGTCTTACTTAATTTTATTCAAGCTCAAGCTATTCCTAGAGCAAGTTCTCAGGTCGACTATTTCATGCATTCACTATAAAAGGTACATAACCAATAGGCACTGATACTGGGGAAAACTGTTTTAACCAAGAAATTTCAAATTCAATTAACAACTGAGAATGAGTTTACTCACTTTAGTTGACATTTGAATTTCCTCAGATATGAACACCTCTTCAACCTGGACGGCATCTCTGGGAAAATATCCAAACTCTTTTCCTTTCTGTCAAAATGAAGAACAAAGACCATCGAGGAAGAATGATCAAAGCAATAATAATTATTGAACCTAATTTTGTCCCATGTCCTTGGCTTTCATCTACTCCAAATCGCAAACATTGACAATCAATTTCCATATAAAAGAGAGTAAAATCATATTTTGTTATTCAAAAGAAGAGCATTTATTTAAGGAACAAAGAGCCAAATGGTAAAATGTCGCTGTTTCAAACTTCAGAAAGAAACCTGTTCCACTTACTCATTTTATTCCTTTTTCTGTTCTTTAACAACCTTTCCTGTCCAGGTCAACTGCAGATTTACACGAGTAGACCTGGGATATCAAAAGGCAAGGCAATGGTGGCGGTAGCCAAGCTAGATGGAGTAATGACATATTCAATGTTTTCAGGATGTTAAAATCAGACAGGCGGTTTAAACTCTGAAGGGCCACAAATGGATTCATCAAGATAGTAAAGGTCTACAATTCCTACAGGGAGGATTTGGTTCCATTCTACTTTTCTGCGGCTACCTTAATAACAGAGATCCTCTTAACCCAGGTCAAGCAAGGCAGATTGTCCCCCAAGGGTGAATGTTTTACACAGCCACCCTCAGCCCATTTCCTAACCCTGCTAAAGTTTTAAAGAACATATTTCTTTTGGTCCTGTACTCCAGCACCTTTGTACCTCAACTGTGATTTGTCCAGCTCTCCATAGCTGTAACTATTTGGAAACTGACAGCCTGTGGGTCCACAGTGTGGGTTCTTAAACAGCTAACTGCATGAACTAAACATCAAATGCACAAAAGTAAATGTGCCTAAAACTTCGCCCTAGCTCCATACATTAAACATTGCTTTTATGTGGAACCATTATGTTCACATATAGTAAATAAAAAAGAATGCTTTCTTTGACTTTTGTGACATCTAAGATGCCACTTTTTGTACGGCTGCATTGGATGCCTCCAATGAATTCAAGACATAGATTGTTTTTTCGTTTTCATTTTTTAATAGAGACAGAGTCTTGCTCTGTTGCCCAGCCTGGAGTGCAGCAGTGCAATCATAGCTCACTGTAACCTCTAACTCCTGGGTTCAAGCTGTCCTCCTGCCTCAGCCTCCCTCAGCCTCTGAAGTAGCTAGGACTACAGACATGTAAACACCCCACTAATTTGTGTGTGTGTGTTGTGTGTATGTGTGTGTATTCTTGCTATGCTGCCCAGGCTGGTCTCAAACTCTTGGCCTCAAGTGTTCCTCCTGCTTCAGCTTCCCAAAGCACTGGGATTACAGGCATGAGCCACCACGCCTGGCCTTAGATTGGCATTTTAAAGGCACCAGAAGCAGTAGGGCAAGTTGGGAACTGCAGAGGCCAGACAAGCAATTCTGGCCAGTGACAACTAGAAGTCCAGTCCTATAGCCCCTGATGGTAAAGGAGAATTTTTAAATAAAATCTGCTCCTTCAAACAGTGACCACAGAGGCTATAAAAAGAAGAGGTCTGGTGCATATGTAATATGGAAGTGATATATGTATCAAGTCTATCATGTTTGTTCAGCTTGGGAGTAAAAGTACTTATCATAGCACCTTTGCATTATAAACCATAATGATACAATCAAAGAGAAACCTTTTTTCAATGGAAAGTATTAATCATTGATTTTCCCATGTTATATATTCAGAGATTATTTAACCTTCTAGAAATTTCAGCATACTAAAGCTTTGGGCCAAATAAAAGGCTCTCTCAGCTGGGTTGTCTTTTTTATTTTTTTGTTTTTGTTTGTTTTTATTTTTTTGTTTTTTGTTTTTTTTTTGAGACAGGGTCTCACTTTGTAACCCAGGCTGGAGTGCAGTGGTGCAATCACGGTTCACTGCAGCCTCTACGTCCGGGCTCAAGCGATCCTCCCACTTTAGCCTCTCAAGTAGCTGGGTTTACAGGCATGCACTACTACACCCAGCTAATTTTTATATTTTTAGTAGAGATGAGGTTTTACCATGTTGTCCAGGCTGGTCTCAAACTCCCGGCCTCAAGCGATCCGCCCACCCAAAGTGCTGATATTACAAGTGTGATATAAAACTATAAAAAACAAGTTTTTTATAGTTTTTCTATAAAAAACTTACACAAAAAAACTTATAAAAAACTTATAAAAAACTTATAAAACTTATAAAACTTATAAAAAACTTATAAAAAACTTATAACTTATAAAAACTTATAACTTATAACTTATAAAAAACTTATAAAACTTATAAAACTTATAAAAAACTTATAAAACTTATAAAAAACTTTTTCTATAAAAAACTTACACATGTAGGGCCAGGTGCGGTGGCTCACGCCTGTAATCCCAGCCCTTTGGGAGGCCAAGACAGGTGGATCACCTGAGGTCAGGAGTTCCAGACCAGCCTGGCCAACATGATGAAACCCCACCACTACTAAAAATACAAAAATTAGTTGGGCGTGGTGGCAGGCACCTGTAATCCCAGCTACTCAGGAAGCTGAGGCAGGAGAATCGCTTGAACCCGGGAAGCAGAGGTTGCAGTGAGCTGAAATCGCACCACTGCACTCCAACCTGGGTGACAGAGCGAGACTCTGTCTCAAAAACAAACAAACAAACAAACAAACAAAACTTATACACCTAGCTTCCCTACGCTACCAACCTTTCTGGGGATCTCTTCAATAACAACCCAGCCCTTCATTTGCTCAGAAAGAAATGTCTTTTAATCTGATTAACTAAAACTTTGCAGTCTCTTTACAACTTGACCATTGGCGGGGTGCAGTGGCTCACGCCTGTAATCCCAGCTCTTTGGGATGCCAAGGCAGGTGCATCACCTGAGGTCAGGAATTTGAGACCAGCCTGACCAACATGGTGAAACCCCATCTCTACTAAAAATACAAAAATTAGCCAGGCGTGGTGGCATGCGCCTGTAATCCCCGCTACTCAGGAGGCTGAGGCAGGAGAATTGCTTGAACCCGGGAGGCGGAGGTTGCAGTGAGCAGAGATTGCACCACTGCACTCCAGCCCGGGCAACAAGAACGAGACTTTGTCTCAAAAAACAAACAACAAAAAAAAACGAAAAAAAAAACCTTGACCTTTGGCAGCACCAAGAAATGACTGGGGTTGCCTAGCCATCCCATAATATAAAGTCCCTCCAAATAAATATAAAAATCTAATTTTAAAAATGATGCATGCTATGTAAAAATAAATTCAAGAATTCAAGGCATTCTCTTAGCCCTCCATCCCAACTATACTGCCTTCCCAAAAAGCCTCTTTTATGGAAATATTGGAACTCCCACTAAACATGACCATTTTTTGTTTGTTTAAATATGTTAAGGGTTTTTAATATATATACTGTGTTTTGAAATTCTTAACATTTCTTTAAAGATGAAAACCAGGTATCCTTGGCTGGGTGCGGTGGCTCACACCTGTAATCCTGGAACTTTGGGAGGGTGAGGCAGACAGATTACTTTAGCTCAAGAGTTCGTGACTAGCCTGGGCAACAGAGTGAAACGCTGTCTCTACCAAGAATACAAAAATTAGCCGGACATGGTGACACACACCTGTAGTCCCAGCTACTCAGGAGGCTGAGGTGGGAGGATGGCTTGAACTCAGGACATGGTGGTTGGAAGTTGTAGTGAGCTGTGATCACACCACTGCACTCCAGCCTGGGCAACAGAGTCAGGCCCAGTTTCCTGTTTTCAAAGAAAACAAAACAAAAAGAAAGAAAAGAAAAGAAAAGAAAAGAAAAGGAATCCTTGTGCAAGTTGGTCATTTATTCTGCATTCAATTTTTTAAAGTAGTTACTTACACTTCCTGCCCACAAATCTTCCCTTTCTCCTGCAAGTTTAACAAAAACAGATATCTCTTCTCCCTTAGTGAAGTTCAGGTATCTGCAGTCAGGTCCTCTGTAATCTCTCATGGCTGAGACTCTGCTTATTAAAGCTATGTAAAACATGTAAAGAAAAACACACACATTAAATTAAAATGTTATTTCTCCCCTTTCATCTTGCTCTCTTTCAATCCATCCTATATGTTTCCAAATGCTAATATCTTTATACCATTTATGGCCTCAAAAACCTATGTAGCCTTAGAGAGTCTAAGCCTTTGGGCCTGGTATCCAAGGCTGTCCATAACCTGGTCCCCTTTCTCTCTTTGAAAGGACCTCCTCCTATCCCTTCACACAGACTTGGCTACACTCAAGCTTGTTTATCCATTGTCCCTGGAACGTATCATCATCATTCTCTAGTCTGTAGGAAAGGAAAAAAGGTAATCAGTTTTCTTCCTGGCACTTATCATATTCTAGGCATTATGATAATTGCTCTCATATTTTTATTTTATTAAATCCTCAAAACAGACCTATGAGGTAAATAATTTCATCTCAGTCTAACAAATGAGTCTTTAGTGAAGGCTCAGAGAATTGGTCACACAACCCCAGTGGAGCCCGATTTGCCCTGAGGTTCTTCTCACTGCAAAATCTCCTTCCTTATTCTGAGCTTTTCTTTCTGTCCTTTCCCCAGTCTAAACACCTGTTTGCCCCTTCATGCTTAAGTCATGCCCTGCTTCCTCTGTGAGGCAGCCTGATTATTCCAACCTACTCCGACTGCCCTTTCTCTGAACTTTAATATTACCTATTATCCTTACTAGGCTGCATCACTATTTACTGTTTCATTTAACCTGTCTTGTCATCGTTCACTAAAATTAAATTTTCTGAAGGGGAAGAAACTTATCTTACATCTCATTTTATTCTCCTTAGATGCATAGCACCTGCCCCCCATCCAACCCAACATGTAGTAGGCCCTCAATAACTATGAACGAATCACAGCCACATATGCCAGATTCAGCAGTTCAACACATGAAGTAATATACACACCATATTATCTATTATAATTATACTGACATGTGTAAAACAAGATATTTTTATTGTCATGCAATTAAAGTTAAAATAACATCATAAATTTCTATAAATTTGAATGTTCCCTTTTCAGGTTCTATGTCTGACCTTAAGAAAACTAAAATGATGTTGTAATATAAAAAGGGAAAGAAAGACTTTTTTTTTCTTTATATATATTTTTTTGAGGCAGGGTCTTGTTCTGTTGCCTAGGCTAGAGTGCAGTGGCATAATGATAGCTGACTGCAGCCTCCACTTCCCAGGTTTAAGCCATCCTCCACCCTCAGTCTCCCTAGTAGCTGGGACTATAGCTTGTGCCACCATGCTCAGCTAACTTTTTTGATTTTTTGTAGAGATGAGGTCTCACTATGTTGCCCAGGCTGGTCTCAAACTCCTGAACTCAAGTGATCCTCCCACTTCAGCCTCTCAAAGTGCTGGGATTAGAGGTGCAAGCCACCACACCCAGCCAAAAGATTATTATGACAATAAAACATCATCTAGCAAACTTCTCTACATATTACGTTATATGTCCAAAAAGTTAAGGAAGAATGTTTACTCAAAATTATTACTTATAAATTATTTATGTTTATACTAATAATGTTTTCCATTTTTAATTTTCATGTTACAAATTAGAAGTAATTCTCACAGCCAGGCGCAGTGGCTCATGCCTGTAATCCTAGCACTTTGGGAGGCTGAGGCGGGTGGATTCCCTGAGCTCAGGCTGGGCAACACAGTGAAATCCCATCTCTACTACAATACAAAAAATTAGCCGGGTGTGGTGTTGTGCACCTGGAGGCTGAGACAGGAGAACTTGTGAGGCGGAGGTTGCAGTGAGTCGAGATCGTGCCATTGCACTCCAGCCTGGGCGACAGAGCAAGACTCCATCTCAGAAAAAAAGAACAAAAAGGTAGAATTTATTTAAAGCAACTCTTGATTTTGCTGCGAGAGAAAAAATACATATTTATTATAACATAAAAACAAAAGGAAAAATAACTTATTTAAAGCAACTCTAATATATTGGGATATAATTTATTTCGCACCATAGAATAACAGAAAATTAGTTCTTAATAGAATGGAAATTAATTTCCATTTACAGTAAAAAAAAAAAAGCTTTATATTCAATGATATAAATAAAAAATTTATATTCTAACCCTGGTTTCAGTATTTTTACATAATAAATAACACAGAAATGATTAACATTTGATAAAGTTTAGAAGAATAAATCATGATGGTTTGAAATAAGAACACTTTTTAGGAACGTCATGAGAATCAGAAAGTTCTGTGTGTGAAACAGAAACTAAAAAGTAAAAGGCTTTCGTAAATAAAGGACTATCAAATTAGCCTGATGTCTTTTTTTATATGAATCAATTAGATTTATCCTTTTTTTTTTTAATGGGGCAGCCTTCTGAGCCACAATAGGCTCAGAGACTCCCAGATTTATCTTTAAAAATAGTAAAAGGGCTGATTAGTTTGTTTTTGAGGTATGAATTAATATCATTTTAACTTCTGATATATTTCTATAGCAGACTGATTTTTGCTGTTTGTATATTTGTATTAAATACTATCACAAAATGCTTTGTTTCCAACATTTCCTTTTTACACCAAGCTATGCTTCATAATGCAAATATTTCTCAATGATACCAGTACTCATTTTTATCATGCATGACCACAATAAGATTTCATGTCATTTCAGAGCCCCAGTTTAGGAGGAGAAGAAGCGGGGGAAGCAAACTTACTTTCACATTCCAAGTCACCACATTTTTTCAGGTCTGCCAGCAGTTTTGTACTTTCTAGACACTTTATCAGAGAAATAGCCAGAAGAAAGATTCTGTGGACGCCAAGTTTCTCCATGCTAAAACAAGCAACCAGGAATCCCAAGTGAGGTTTAAGCCAATTGTTCAGGTTGTAGAGATGTCAGCCAAAACAGGAGATATTTTACTCTCTTTACTAAATATAAGAGAAAAAGGGTTGAAGTTTTAAAAATTTCTTGATAACTATATTTTTCTACCGACTTGTTGGTTTAACTTGAAAGACAAACACTGTCTGTTTCCAATCTGCAGTGTCAGGTATTCCTGTAACACCTAAGGGTTTAATAATTAACAAGGATTTTTAGTTGGACTAATGTCTTATAAAGGAAGCCCATGTAAAACTGTCTCACTTAAAGGTACCTTGTGTTCAACAAGACAGTTTTTAAGTAGGTCTCCACAAAAGCGTAGTTACCTGCAAATACTAATTTCAGTGGATAATGTACATAGTGTGTGCAAAAAGAGTAATAATTTATGTTAAAAGAATGGCTTTGAAATATCATGGTGAAAAGTATTTTTAAAAAGATTCCACTTGTATATTTAAAAACCCCTTGTTGTTACTATGAAGTTAAAACTTATTTAGTTAAGAACAATAGTTAAAATGTAGTAAGTACTTACTATATTCCAGGTACTGTCTTAAGTAAGTACTTAAATATCTGATCTGATTTAACCTTCACACCAACTCTCTGACGTAGGTAATATTATCATCCCCACTTTTGTATATAAGGAAACTGAGGCACAGAGAGATGGGTTAAATCACTCACTCAATGGCACGTAGTGAATGGAAAAGAAATGTTAACCTAGGTACGATGAGACCCCATACTTATAACCAACCACTTGCTTTACCACCAAGAATCAAGTCATCTGCCGTGTAAAGATGTCACTCTGTCTGCAACAATACTACTCCAGCAGGTAGAGTATTACTCCATGTTTTAAAAACTGTATGTGTATTTCTGTAAGTGGACAGAGAATGAAAGAAAGATACCTGAATAAGTGCTCCCCACATAGTGGAAGTATATAGTGTGATTTCCAGTGGTATTTTCTTCTTTGTAGTTTCCTATATTGTTTGACTTTTTCTATATTGTTTGGCTTTATTTTTTTAAAAAGAAAACATATATCTTTTTTGGTTTGGTTTTGTTTTTGAGACAGAGTCTTACTCTAGCCCAGGCCAGCCTCCCAGGCTTAAGCAATCCTCCCACCTCTCCTTCCTGAGTAGCTGGACCACAGGCATGCAGGATACAGCTGGCTAATATTTTATTTTTAGTAGAGATGAGGTCTCACAGTGTTGGCCAGGCTGATCTTGAATTCCTGGACTCGAGTGATCTTCCTGCTTCAGCCTCCCAAAGTGCTGGGATTACAAGCATGAGTCACCACATCTGGCCCATATATTACTTTAAAATAAAATAAATCAGCCGGGCCCAGTGGCTCATACCTGTAATCCCAGCACTTTGGAAAACCAAGCCTGGAGGATCATCTGAGGTCAGGAGTTCAAGACCAGCCTGGCCAACACGGTAAAACCCCATCTCTACTAAAAATACAAAAATCAGCCAGGTGTTGTGGCAGGCACTTGTAATCCCAGCTACTTAGGAGGCTGAGATAGGAAAATCACTTGAGCCCAGGAGGCAAAGGTTACAGTGAGCTGAGATTGCGCCACTGCACTCTAGCCTGCAAAACAGAAAGAGAGTCCATCTCAAAAAAATAATAATAATGAAAAATAAATAAATAAATAACAAAGCTATGAAAATCCAGTCATTTGAAGGTTATTGTCACTCAAAAAGGATCAAAATCCCACACTGGAAATTTTTGGGTAAAAACTCCAGGTCTCCATTGATTTTCAGAAACCACGGTTGTCCAATTTCATTCTTTGGAAAATATTTGTCTAAGCCCTCCTTTGCTGTACTTTTTCACTGTATTTGGACATACCAGTGGGCATACAGTTGGTCTTCTGATTCTCAGGTCAGAACCCAGCACTTGTATGATGTCATGCTCCCCTCTAGTGCCTGACACAAATAGGACAAATACCTAGCCCCTGAGCAAGCTAAAGTAAAGGCAGGACTTTTGCTCTCAAGATCCTAAGTAAAGGAAGTTTGTTTGTTGCTTTGTTTTCCAAAAACAATGATCAGTAGTAAGCCCACTCTCTCAGAGCTAAGATTTTTATATCCTTTAAAAGAATCTGATAAAGCATGCATTTCAGGATCATTTGGATCGCAACGGAGCACTGCATAGTTGTATGCAAACACATACAAAAAGGTGTAGGTTAGGTCAGGTGCCTCACACCTGTAATCCCAACACTTTGGGAGACTGAAGCGGGAGGATTGCTTGACCCCAGGAGTTTGAGGCTGCAGTGAGCTATTGTCACACTGGGTGACAGAGTGAGACCCTGTCTCTATTTTTTAAAAAAAGATGTAGGTTAGTTTCTTAAGTACCTTTGCAAATCTACAAGCTGTGTTGTTAAAGACATTTAAAGAAGGATCGGCTCTTCAGCATCAAAATGTAGCTCAGGGTTATTTGCATATTTTATAATATTGCATATTTGCAGTTATTTGCATATTACCAAATCCAGTATTAAATCAAGAACATTTAGTAATTAATGTAGTTTAACTCTCCTTGTTTTTGTATTAAATATTAAAGATAATATAAAGAATTTATAGATAAATTCAGAAGTAATTGACTTAATCATGTTCTAAGTTAACAACAGCAAGAGCCCAGCAAAATCTAAATTTGGTATTGATTGGCCTGAGGGAGATTTGAGTTGAGAAAAATTTTTGCCTAAGATGCTGGTCTGGAGAGATTTGCTCCTACTAGAAATGCTCCCACACTCTTGCTACTTAATGCACTCAGATTATCTCATTTTATGTTCAGATCATTATTTAAGTTATAATTTAACAGATATCTGAAAATGTGTTAGCACAATGTTGATGAACTGCCTCTAACAAAGCTGGATGAGGAGATGGCACATGAAAGGGAAAAGAGCATTTGGTTAAAAGAAACCAAAGTGTGACTTTCACTGTAAAAAATAGTCATATTAACTTAGCCAGATATTATCTAATTGCTGATGCATTTTGCAGAATATATCAAATTCATCAAATGTAATGCTAAATGTTAAAACTGAGGAAGGTGTCATGGTAACACAACTCAGCCAGGAATACTGATTTGGAAGGCCTATACTATTCTTCACAAACCATACGGGGAGTAAGAGTACTTATTGCATAATGCTAAAGAATGAATCATCAGCCAGCCATGGCAGCTCATTCCTGTAACCCCAGCACTTTGAGAAGCCAAGGCAGGAGAATCACTTGAGCCCAGGAGTTCAAGACCAGCCTGGGCAGCCTGAGTAACATAGGGAGACCACATCTCTACAAAAAAAGACAGATTAAATGAGCCAGACATAGTGGCACATGCTGTAGTCCTAGCTACCTGGGCGACTAAGGCAGGAGGATCTCTTGAATCCAGCAGTTCAAAACTGCAGTGAGTTATGACTGTGTCACTGCACTCCAGCCTGGGCGACAGAGCAAGACTCTGTCTCAAAAATAATAATAATAATAATAATAATAAAATGAACCCTCAAAGCCACACATGTTCAGTACCTACAGATAGAATCACAGAGCAACCCTTTCCATGAGAATATAAAGACAGAATCATGAATGCTGTCCTTCTACTGCTTGGTGATGTTATTTCTGATACTATATAGTACAGTCTTCTCTCTTAGTATCTCAGGTTTCCTAAAGTGGGAACATATTTTCTTCAACACCTGCCTGTTACTCTGGCAACTTATAAGACAGGGAAAATTAATTAGAAGGTACTTGGGATGACGAGAACTGATTAATCTAGAGGGATTTTACTGTGGATGAGGATAGAGCCTTTGGAAAGAGTTCCCATTGGTATGATGTGTGTGCAGTGAGAGATAAGACCCAGGAGAGATTAAGATTTTAGTGTTGTGGGGAAGGCGTGGAGATGGCCCTCCACATCCCCTCTCCAAGATAGTACTTTCTGCCCACCTACAGGGAGTACGGTTAGTAAACAGCCTCCACTGGCAGCTGTGTCAGGGCCTGCCTCAGCTGCAGAGACCTATACCAGCGCCTGCAGAGACAAATACCCAGCTCCTAAGCAAGCTAAAGTGAAGGAAGGACTTTTGCTTTCAAGGTCCTAAGTAAAGGAAGTTTGTTTTCCAAAATCAATGATCAGTAGGAAGCCTGCTCTCTCAGAGCTAAGATTTTCATATTCTTCAAAAAAAATCTAATAGAGCCTGCATTTCAGGATCATTTGGCCTATGCCCTTACCCAAGATCACCCCTTCCTGGGTGATCTAGTGAATCTAGTGAATAAACAAGAGAGTACAAAGGCAGAGTCATTTCAGCCTCATGTGGGACAACCTGATGGGCATTTCTCACCCAGAGCTTCCTGTTGGGTTGACTGAGTCTTTGTAGGGCCTGCACTGCAATTTGATTTCTCACTCTGCCCAATCCTGCTATCTGCCACTTCCTTTCATAGGTTTGATCCTTTGAACCCCAAACTCTATCTCAGCATCTGCTTCTAGGGGACCTAACCTCAGAAGCTGGTGATTCACAGGCACAAAAAGAGGAGATAACAGAACATGCACATTTTGACTTGACGCATCATCTGTGCTAGTCACTCCATGGCTTGCCTTTTTGTTGTTGTTGTTGTTGTTTTGTTTGTTTGTTTGGTTTTGATACAGAGTCTTGCTAATTTTCGTATTTTTTTAGTAGAGACGGGTTTTCGCCATGTTGGCTAGGCTGGTTTCGGCCTCCTGACCTCAGGTTATCCGCCCACCTAGGCCTCCCAAAGCACTGGGATTACAGTCATGAGCCACCATGCCCAGCCAATGGCTTTTCCTATGTTTGTTGTTTTGTGTTGTTGAAGACCACATTGTAATTCTCCCACTTTTTCCCATTCTGTCTGTATCAATAAGAATTTTACCAGGGAACAGATGGACATTCAATTTTAAGGGGATAGCACTCCTCAATGATTTAGGAGAATTTAATAAAAGGACTATTAACAAAGGTGGGGACAGGGTTAAGGGAAACCAACAAAGGACGTAACATACCCAGGTAGGCAGGAATGTGACCACTGACTGGAGAGAGCTTAGGAGAGGACGGCCGAACAGGAACTTGAAGTCTTCAGTAAAGGAACTCAGTCAAGATAACCTCACCCTGCTCCCACCTTCTGACCTCCTGATGCAGCCTCCCACTTGCCAAACCCAGCCAAATGCCAGCAAATAATGGAA